CACCTTAGCCTCCGCGTTGCCTGCCGGGCTCAGGAACTTGCTGGAGGTGGTGACTGCTAGCCGTCGCCGCCCGCGCCAGAACTTGCGTCTCCTCCCCCGACCCACACTGGGGGGTACAGGGAGGGGGCCGAGGGCGGAGCTGGGGGCGTGGAGAGGGAGGTCTGGGATGCTCCGGTGTCGAACAGCTGAGGGAGCTCCAGCGTTCGTTCTGGGAAGAGGGGCTAGGAAGCTGAATGGTCTCAGCTCTGGTTTCAGAGTTGCGCTCCTGCGTGCCTCAGTTTACCCTCTTTCTCTATCCCCAAGGTGGCGAAGAGAGAGGTGTCAGGGATGTGTTTCCACTTGACCACCCTCATTTATTGATCAATCCTCTTTAGGAACGCAAGTTCTCGCTTTTTCCAGGCGTATGCCAGTGCCCTGCGCCATCTGGGTTTCCATCTCCCCGCCCGCTCATGTCATATTCCCCCAATCGGCCTCAGAAACAGAAGATCAAGACGCGGCGCTCCTCACTCCATCCCTCGATTCCGCCCGCACGCCTCCTTCCTCGGTCCCACTCAGACTAGGAAACAGAAGATCGACGCACGGAGCGGCTGCAAAGTCGCTTTCCTATTGGCTACAGCCGCCGGAGCTGCGCCCGCCCGTCTCGCTTCGCCGCTCCACCTGGGCGGGGCCTCCCTGCCAATCCCTGTCTGCCTCCGGCCCCGCCGCCCCGCCGCCTGCCAGGCAGTTTTAAAGGAGCCGAGGCCGCATCCAGATGCCCCCGGGTTGGCTGATCTATAGGGACCAGCCTTGTGGGGTGGCGGCGAGGGTGTCTCAGCGTCTGGGGCGCGGTTGGGCGCTGGAGGCGGGGCCCGAGCATGTCGCGCTCGCTGCACCTGCAGAGTGTCCCTCCCACTAGTTTCGGGCGCAGTTTCTCGATTCACCATTAGGGGGAGGGGCGCCCAGGCCACTTGACAGTGAGTAGTAATAACAAGAACTGACTCAGTGCGTTGCACATGCCAGGCCCTTTACTCACCTCTGACATCGTCGTCGCCAAAGCCCTGTAAGGTAGATGGTACCGGCCCAGCTTTGCAAATGAGGAGACGCAAGGTTTGGCCCCCTCCCCAGTCCTCATCTCACCAAGGGGCAAAGCACGCATTTATATAGATGTGGGGTCCCTAATCATTACTCTATACCCTAGAAGAAATGAATTATTCTTTTTTCTTTTTTAAAAGAATTATTTATTTAGTTTCATTTAGTCATTCATTCTTTTTAATTTTTAATTTTTATTTTTTAACTTGACCCTAGATAGACACACACAGAAAGAGAGAGAGGGAAAGCAAGGAAGTAAGCCACCAGGTCCAGGACTTGAACCATAGTCAGTGGGAGTGTCCAGTACCTTAACCACCACACCACCTGCTGGTCCCTGAAATGAATTATTCTTTAAATTAAACAAATAAGTTTTAGGCTTTTGCCCTTGTTGGACAGAGACAGAGAGAGACAGTGAGAGGGAAAGTGAGAAATCACCCTCCAGTAGGGATGACCACGCTGCAATCCCTTCTCCCCTATTCTCCTCCTGGAATTATGGGCATGTGGGCACATGTGCCCAGTGTGATTTGCTAAGCCGTCGGGTCTGGGACTTGAACTGTAGCCGGTCAGGTGGGAGTCTACCGACTTAACCACTACACCACCTGCTAGCCCCTATCCTTTGATCATCACTCTTTGCCCGAGAACCCTCTGGAGAGGGTCATGTTATTATCCTCTCTTTTCATCCAAAGGTACAGCCAACTTCTGCCCAGACAGGTGTGTTCCAGAAAAACAAGCTTCTTTTTCTTTTTAAAGAGAGATTTTTGCTATAGAGCACAGGTGCTTACCAGAGAGAGAGACAGAGACAGAGCGAAAGTGAGAAATCACCCCCTCAGGGAGGATGACCATGCTGCAATCCCTTCTCCTCTGGACTCTTCTTAATATTTTGGACACACATGCCCACGCCCCCAGAGTGAGTTTCAAGCTGCTGGGTCCAGGACTCAAACCATGGTCGGCCATGTGGGAGTCCAGCACCTTAATCACTATGTCACCTGCTGGCCCCATATGAGCTTCTTATAGAACGTCTCCTAGGAGATGTTTTCATTCACAGATGCCCTACAAGATGGGGGAAAGGGACACAGGTGTTGTCCCTCAGCCCCTGAAAAAGGTGTTTTCTCAGATTTGCTGTTGGCAGGGGGGCTTTAACACATAGGCACTTCTGCCACATAGTGCTTCAATATGAGTATGCCTCCTGTAGGTGTCCCCACATCTAGTCCTCTTTTGATCTCAATTTTATTTTATTTTAAAGAATCATTTCATTTAACTTTATTTATTCACTTGTTTTAATTTGATAAGAGAGGGGCAGAGTGAGAGATAGAAAGTGAGAAAGCAAGCCACCAGGTCCAGGGCTTGAACTGCAGTCGGCCATGTGGGAGTCCAGCACCCTTAACCACCATGCCACCTGCTGGCCCCTCGATCTCAATTTTATACAGGAGTTCCTCAGACAAAGTGACTTTTTTTTTTGTTGTTGTTGTTTTAAATTTTATTTAGGGACCAGCAGATGGCGTAACAGTTATGTTGCTGAACTCCTACATAGTTGACCACAGTTCGAATCCCACACCTGGTGTTTTAAATTTCACGCTGGGCTCATGTGCGTGCATGCCCAAAAATCTCAAGAGGAGAATGGAGGAGAAGGGATTGTGGCGTGGTCATTCCCGCCCCCCCTCCCCGGTAGGGGGGCTATTTCTCTGTTTCTGTCTCTTCAGTGAGTCCACACACCCTATAGCAAAAATCTCTCTCTAAAAAAATGAAAAAATAAATAAGAATAAAATAAAGAGCAAAAATATGTATTTATTATTATTATTTAAATAATTATTTTATTTAACTTTATTTATTTATTTTACTTTGACCAGGGAGAGATAGAGTGAGTGTGAGAGAGAATGAGAGAGAGAGAGAGAGGGAAAGCAAGCTTCCAGGTCCAGGACTCAAACCTTTTCAGCTATGTGGGAGTTCAGTCCCTTAACCACCATGCCACCTGCTGGCTCCCAAAAGAAACATCTTTTACCTTGCAGCTGTTTCTCAGCAGGTGTTCCTTCACTCATGCATGCACTCTACAGTCCCCATAGATGTGGTCCAGGGATAGACCCAGAGGGGATATGTTTCCACATACTCACGGGGTCCCACACAGGTGTACTCAGATGCAGGTATGTCTCATACAGGTATTTCCAACACATTTCTACATAGGAACGCCCCCATACAAGTACAGAACAGTCTCTAGGTGGGCTAAGCAGATGCATTTTCAAACAGCTGTACTGCACACCGCAATGTCTCAGCCAGCTGTTGTAACACGGTGCAGGTGTGTTCTATACAGATGTTTCCCTCACAGGTTTGCGTCCTCGCAGCTCGACCCCACACAGAAGTGGTTCGATGCAGGAGTCGCCCGTAGGTGAGTGTATGCGCAGGTGTCTTCTCTACGGGTGCATTTTCACCGCGGTCTATCTCAGGCAAGCGTGCGGCTTACAGAGGTACCTGCCCCGAGAGCCTCCCTACCTGTGATCCTGAAGAGGTGCCTGCAGTGCAGGTGTGAGGTCCTTCCTCGCCCTGCGCCTCCCCTGACCTCCCCCTCCCCCTGTGGCCCTGGTTCCCGTTACAGGTGCGCTCCGGGCGCGGCCCCGCCCCCTCTCGGCTCCGCCCTCCCCTCCAGGCTCAGGTGCACAAGCCGGAAGTGCGCTCGACTCCCAGGTGAGTGACTAAACTTTCCGGGTCACGTGAGCGGGCGGAGCCGGTGGGGTCGGACCGAGAAACCGACGGGCCGATTGGGGGTTCGAGCGAGGAACCGGGACAGGGAACTCGGGTAAGGTCAAAGACACACGGGCCAGGGAGGGAGCGGCTCGCGCGGTTTGGCCTGCCTCCCTCCGCTTGCCCCTTCCCTTTCCCCAGCCCAGGAACGCGCGCCCGGGAGTTAATCTGTAATCTCTGACCTCTGGCGGCGGGGGCGGGGCGGCACTCCGAGGTGCCCTGGCGCGCTCGCCTCTTCCGTGGGCCTGCGCCCGGTCCAGTCCCCAGCCCCACGCTCGGGCCTCTCTCCCGCCGCATGTGCCCAGGCGCGGTACCCCCGGCCCGAGATGCGGTAGGAGCGGTGCTCGAGAACCCCCGGCGCCACCAACTCGTCGCCCGGCCCATGGCGACCCCCGGCCTGGGGCTGGTCTTGGCCCTCAGCCTCCCGCTGCTGCCGGCCCGCCGGGGCCAGGCCTGGGGGCAAAGTAGGTACCAGCGGGGGAAGCTGCGGGGAGGGGCCGAATTCCCGGGTCTCTGCTGGGGATGGGGCCCAGGAAGGCAGGTTTCTGGGGCCCAGAGGGTCAAGAATTGGGCAGCGGGCTTGGATGCCTGGGAGGGTCTGCAGAACCAGGGCTGGGAGTCGAGGATTTCTGGCTCCCTCCTCCACCTGTCCGACTTGGGCTCCGGGAACTGAGGCCCTGGAGGTGGGTGTCCGGGCTGGGTGGCGGCTCCGCAGGAGGTGGGGTGGGGAGGAGGCCTGTGTCCCCCAGTGTCGGCCCTCTGAGGGGTTTTGGGAGTCAGGAGGCCCTGGGCCTGGGCTGACACTGCGACTTTAGGTGTGGGGCAGCCACTGGTCCTTCTGTCCCACTCGGGAGCCTGGGGGGAGCCTAGGGGGAGGCGTGAGTCAGACACTCCAGGGAAGGGCTGGAGCCGCCCAGCTCCTTAAGGGCCCAGGGCTGGAGCGATGAAGGGGAGGGCTGGGCCTCCGGACACCATCTATTATCACAGCCCCCAAGTCCAGTGAAAACACCTGTTAACTCAGTACCCCCTGCCGGGCTCTGCTAGGCCAGGTGGCAAGGGAGCAAGTGGGGGGTGAGCGCTTGAAGGGGGAGGGCCTGTCTGTAGGAGGGCAGTTTTAAGGGGGCCCTGATGGGGAAGGTGAGATGGGTCGAACCTTAACGTAGGCTCTGTACCCACTCCTGGCAGCACTGAACCCTCTCGCGGATGGAAACAGCACGCATATACCCACTGGCGGCGGCTCCAGTGGGGGGCTGGTGAGTTGGGGTGCATGTGGGCGGAGGGCAGCAGGGGTGTTACTCATGTTATTCGGCACGTGAAGTGGGTGGGAGGGACTGAATAACCAGCAGCCCCCTCCAGGTGGTAGAGCAGGGTGGTGTTTGAGAGATCAAATAGCAGAGAGCCAAGCGGGGAGGCCGAAAGTTCCGACCTCCCAAAGACTGGGGAGTTAGGGATGGACATTAGGGTGGACGGACTGGAATACCTGACCCGGAAAGTCTAAGGGGTCAGGAGCCTCACGTGCTTCCTGGGCAGTGGGGGAGCTAGGCGCCCACACTTCCTGCAGTCTCCTAGGAGCAGGGGTCCCTGAGGGACAGGTGTGTGGCAGGAGAATCTGAGACAAGGCAGGTTGGGAAGCCTTGGGGCCCCAGATTAGGCGGATGAGGTTGTTTATCTTTAAGAGCCCCAGTGTGGGGGGCCGGGGGGGGGTGCAGGTGTGGGGAGGCCGCCCCGGTCCCCAGGGGAGTCACACCTGTCCCCTCTGCAGTCTCAGGAAGCCATCACAGCCATCATCGTAGTCTTCTCCATCCTGGGTGTCCTGCTCCTGGCCGTGGGGCTGGCCCTGCTGGTGCGGAAACTTCGGGAGAAGCGGCAGACGGAGGGCACCTACCGGCCCAGCAGCGAGGAGCAGGTGGGTGCCCGGGCGCCACCGGCCCCCAACCTCAAGTTGCCGCCTGAGGAGCGGCTCATCTGAACGCCAGGGCCCACTGCAGCCACCGCCTCCGCCGCAGCTCAGGACTGCCGGGTGCATGTTCACACTCAGCTGATGCCACCGACACACCGGCCTCTGACGTCTGGAGGACTTGGGGGGGCACACGCATGGTGGGCTCTGCAGCATGTCACCTCTGCCTGACTGCCCATAGCTGGGGGCGCTGGGGCTGGGGCCTGCCTCCCTGCTTGCCGAACCATCGCCGCCGTGCGAGTGTCCTCCTGCCCGTGCAGGCTCGACAACCCCCTCTCCTTTCTTTCAGTTCTCCCATGCAGCTGAGGCCCGAGCCCCCCAGGACTCCAAGGAGACGGTGTCGGGCTGCCTGCCCATCTAGGTCTCCTCCCCATGCCGGTCTCCCTTCCTTGCTGTGTGACCTTGGGGCAGGCAGAGCCCTCTCGGGGCAATCAGACCCACCCAGTGCTTTAGCAGGGAAGAAGGTGCTTCCAAGACTTTGCTCTCAGGGCAAAGGAGGGTGGAGCTGTTCCCTCTTTATATATTTATATAAAACTGTTAGTGAGACCTAATAAAAGCTGTTTTCGAGCTGGTTGGGACAGTAGCTTGGATGGACACAGGTACAGAGATGAACTATAAGGTAGCCGGGATCTGAGGGGACTACAGGGACTTCCTAGAAAGGAAGGAACTTCTTTTTTTTTTTTTGAGAAGTTTTTGCGATAGGGCGTGTGCACTCACCAGAAAGACAGACAGATAGAAAGCGAGAAATCACCCCCCAGGAGGGATGGCTATGCTGCAATCCCCTCTCCTCCGTTCTCCTCTCGGGATCTTGGGCACGCACACACACGCACCTGGCGTGAGTTTAAGCCACCAGGTCTGGGATTCGAACTGCGGTCGACTACATGGGAGTCCAGCAACATAGGCATACGCTAACTGCTGGTTCCGAAAGGAGGGAACTTCTAAATGCACCTTGGAGCCAAGTAGAGATTGCCCCCCAACACTTGAGGGGATACTGGGGGGTTTCTGAGTAGAGGGAGAGCCCCAGATAAGCTTATCAGGAAAACTCAGCTTTGACTTTTTTTCTTGTGGCTTTATTGAGGGCCTGGGATCTCCCCAGATTCCTGACCTCTAACCCTCAAAACATTTCTTAAGGTCAGCGACTCTGGGCCGGCTTCTGACCTGGGGCTCTTGCCAGCTGGTGGTGGGTGTGGCAGGGGAATGGGAGGCCCCCACCCCCTTGTGGGGCTGGGGGTGAGCATCCTCAGCTAGCTCGACCTTGGGAAGCTGGACTCTGGGGTTCTCTAGAGAACTGGGGTCCGAGGAACGCTCGGACTGAGACATCCAGGCAGTATCCAAGTTGGGCTTTTTAGGGGCCAGAAATTGGGGGCTTCCCGGAGGCCTGGGCTGGGTGGGTGCTATGGAGAGTCTGGAGCAGGCGCTCTCCTGGACTCCAGACTCTTCTTCAGCTGCCTTGTGGGGAGGGGAGAGATGAAGGATTAGGGGCTCCGTGAGAGGACGGGGCCCAGGGTCCCCTTGGCGGCTTGGGTCTGTAGGAGCTATTGAAGGTTGGGATGGAGAGAGGGTTTCTTGGTCGACCTGTGAGAGCCGCTGGGGACTGGGGCTCTCGGAGACGCTCATGGTGTCTGCAGACTGTGTGTCTGGCGGGAACGACAGATCCGCAGGCAGGGACAGGGGCTGGGGCTCTGGGTTTGCACCGTCTTGTTGCCATTCTGCTCTCCCTGGGATGTCAGGCTGGGGTGGAGAGACGGGTGAGATGTGTCTCTCCAGGTGCGGGAGGGATGGGCAAGGGGGAGGGGGCGCGGGCTCTCACCAGGCTGAAGCAGCTGTCCAGGTCCCCTCTGTGACAGCACTCTAAGCTCTGGCTTGACCTGAGGCTGCCTGTGCTCTTAGACCCCACGCTCAGACTGTCCAGAATCTCACTCAACAAATCCAGTTCTTCTCCGGACCCCAAGAAGCTGCTGTCCAGCGCGTCCTCTGCCCATGGGCTCTGGGCATCCTCAGGGCTCAGAGGGGGTGTCCTGGGAGAGCATGGGTGGCCTCGGTCAGCAGCTGAGACCCACAGGGGTTTGACTGTCATCATCATTGGTCTTGCCACCCTCCCTTTGAGCCTTACCTCTCTCTTAGGGCCTCTGAAGGTTTTTCTTCCAGTTGGAGTCTCTTGGGGCGAAGGGGCCGATTCTGCAAAGGCATATTTGGGGACGGTGGGAGTAGATAGGACCTTAGGAGCCAGTGTCAGGAGACTGGGGCTTTTTGCAGGAAAGTGAAATTTTTCTTTTTTTTGGGAGTGGAGCGGTTTCTGCTATAGGGCACATGTGCTCATCAGAGACAGAGAGAAAGTGAGAAATCACCCCCAGGGGGGATGGCCACACTGCAATCCCTTCTGGATCAGCCAGGATCCCCTTGGGATCTTGGACACACACGCACACACGCACACACGCCCGCGGCGTGAGTTTAAGCCACCGGGTCTAGGACTTGAACCGCAGTTGACTACATGGGAGTCCAGCGACAGAGCCATTAGGCCACCTACTGGTCCCAGTAGGAGAGTGAATTTAAGTGGGTGAGGAGGGAAGCGAGATGTATGGATGGAGCTGAGGAAAGAAGGGGGATTCCCTGATAGTTCCGGGTGTGCATGTGCGAGAAAGAAGCGCGGTCCTACCTGTCCAAAGTGCTGGGTAATAGGCAGGCGTTGCTGCAGGCGATCCGAGCGGCTGGTGAGCGACGGAGCCCTCAGGGAGCCCCCCCGTAGCAGACCACAGTCTCCGTCCTGGAAGAGGATGCATGAGCTGGGAGCCCCCGACCCCCGAGTCCCGGACACTGGCCAGCGCTCGGCCTTACCTTGTACGCCAGCAGGCTCTGCATGCCCTTCAAACCACTCTTGGCCTGTGGAGAGAGGGGAGAATTAGACCCCAGGGCGATCGGACCCTTCTGTCCCCGGGGTTGGCTCTGTCTTGCCATCTGTCCACCCGTATGTCACAGACAAGTTCACGACAACCCTGCATACCACCCGTGAAGTCAACACACACGCTTGCCCCTTGGACTAACAGAAGCAGTGAATCTGGAGGCGATACCCCCAAATGAAACGGGGGGGTGGCAAACGACATAAGCGGGAGTTCGTGTCTCACGGCCGAGGGAAGAATAAAGTCAGACTGAGAGGACAGTTCTGAGCTGCAAAACTGGATGCCAGGCCACGTTGGGGTGTGGAGGAAAAGAACGTCACGAGGCCAGAAGCTGGGACTGAAAGGGATGAGAGGTGACCACCGAGGACTGTTGGTTGTCTAGGCAAGAAATGAGCCCTACAGATGAGGGGGTGGCACATGAACAATAAAAGTGGAGACAATTGTGAATGATTTAAACATGGGTTCAGTCCGATTACAAAAAAAAAGTGTGCACGTCAAATGTCTGTTGTGGGGCCACCTGTTAAGACGGCTGGATCCCACATAGCTGACTGTGGTTCGAGTCCCAGACCCAACAACTTGAAAAACACTCTGGGCATGGGGCCAACAGATGACATGGTGGCTAAGGCGCTGGATCCCACATGGCCAACTCTGCGGTTTGATCCCGGATCCAGCTACTTGAAAACACATCGGGTGCATATGGATGCATGCCCCAAATTGTGGGGGGAGCATGGAGGAGAAGGGGTTGCAGCATGGCCATCCCCCACGGGAAGATGGTTTCTCACTTTCCCCCTCTCTGTCTCCAGTGAGCACATGTGCCCTGTGGCAAAAAAAAATCTTAAAAGAAAAACACACAAACCCCCACATTGGACATGTACCTGCTCACAATCCCGAGAGGAGAATGGAGAAGAGATTGCCATTCCCCCCAGGGGTGTGGGTTCGGGGGGGATGTTTTCTCACTCCCTGCTCCCCGGTGTATAACAAAACCAAAACCAAATGCCTGTTGAGGTCATAATGGCCCGTCTTCATGGAGGGCCGAAGTGTCTTCTGCCCCCTCTCCCTCATCACCCCTGCGACCTGGCCTGCCCAGCCCAGTCTCACCGAGCGGTACATGTTCCTGACAGCCGGCTGGGTCTTGGCTCTGACCGAATGCAGGAGGGCACCGCCCCCTTTCTGGGGAGAGAGGACGTCAAGGAGAAGGGACTTAGGGCCTTGGAGTTACCAGGGTAGGCCCCAGACCCCACCTTCCCACCCTGGGCTGTGTGTCACTGACAAGCTGCTATCACTGAGCGTCCTCTCTATAAAGGAGCTTAGTCCTGGGCCAGCAGGTGGTGTAGTGGTTAAGTGCTGGACTCCCGAGGTTCGGAGGTTCGAGTCCCAGACCCAGCAGCTTGAAACTCATGCTGGGTGTGTGTGCCTAAAATCCCCAAACCAGAAGGGATTGCGGTGTGGCCATCCTCCCCGGGGAGGGACATTTCTCGCTTTCTGTCTCTCTGTTTCTTTCTGTCTCCTGCAAGCACATGCGCCCTATAGTAAAAAATCTCTCAAAAATAAAGTGTAATGCTGACCCTACCATGAACTGCTGTGGGGTTAAACTGATCCAGTAAGAAGTACTAACAGAGGTCCAGTGTAAGTACCTTTAGGTTGTCGGCCCAGAGCTGGTAGGAGCGCAGGGTGCCTGTGTGAGGAGAGAGCGTGGTGGGCCTGGAGGCAGGCTGAGGCTGGGGTGCTGGCGGGCAGAGGCTCAGGGGTGAGGCTGGGGCTCACCTGAGGAGTCCCCGCAAAAAGTGATCTCCTGCTCGAATTGATCCGAGAATCCCTCTCCTGTGTTGAGTTTTTCCAGCCTGGCTTCTATGAACTAAGCAGGGAAGAGTTCAGGAGACCCAGGGAATGGCAGGCACCCCAGGGCCGGAGCTCAGGACCCTGCCTGGCCTTCAAGAGGCAGAAGCCACCTCGGAATCCGAGAGTCAACCCTCTCCCCAGCCCCCAAATCACAAGACCCTTTTGGGTGGGTGTTGTAGGTCTCCTATTTTACAGATGAGCACACAGAGGCCCTGAGTATGCCCTTCACAGGGGACTAAAGTCGATCTCTGCCCCTCTAAGGGGACCCGCCCCTTTGAGAGCCTGGAGTCTGAAGGTGGTCCATCTCACCTTCTTCCAAGAACCCTGAAATTCGCCCTGTTCATTCGTATCCCAGGAGTCAAGAACCCACACCTGCCATCTCTCCCCCCCAAAAAAGTAGACTGGTTGGAGCCAGCCTCCTCTGGATCCCCAACCCTGACGGGGAGAACCCCTGCTCTGGGACCTGAGAACTTGGCCCCACTTTAATCCTCCCTCCTTCTCTCCCTGCTCCCCCACCTAGTAGGTCTTGACCCTCAGGAACCCAGGAATTGGGGGGCTCCTATCTTTACAACACAGTTGAGTACTGCCTCCTCCACCCATCTGGGGTTCCTGGAGTGGAGGATCCCTCTCGACTGGCTTCAGCACCACCCATGAGATCCCAGAAGTTTGTCCCAGCTCACCCACAGGGACCCAGTAATCCCTCCTCGCCCCGCCCTTTCGACTCCACCCACCGGACCCAGAAAGTCCTCGCCCTGCTCCTTAAGTCCAGCCGGAAGTCCTGGCGTTTGCTCCAGCCCCGCCCCTCCGCCCCAGGCCCCGCCCCGGGGTTCCCGCGCACCTGTTTGAACAGCTGCAGGTGCACAGCCCGCTGGTGGAAGGCCTGCAGCGGCGCCCCAGGCTTCTGGGCCAGGAAGGCTTCCTCGCTGAAGGTCACTGGCTGGCCCTGGAAGAATTCGCGTCCTGAGCTCCCCGAGGCTCTCCTGGCCCCTCGCTTCCAACCTCCGTTTCTCCACCACTTTATGTAGTGAACTGGCTGCTGCCTGCGCCTTGCTCGGGGCCTGGTGGGCCTGGGAAGGACTTGGGCTTTTACCGGGAGAGAGGTGGAGCCCTAGGTGGGCTGCGAGCAGGGGAGGGTGACGGCTAAATGACCTCTGGCTACGGCCGGGGCTGTGGGGCACCAGGGTGGAAACCTGCTGGAGAGGAGTTGGGGGCAGAGACCGGGTGGAGACTCGGGGTCGGGAAGTGGGCAGATGCGGATATGCTGTAAAACCAGAGACCACAGGACGTCAGATGCTCAAATAATATTTTTTATAGGATGGTTGGGAAAAATGTGGGCAGGCTGGATCTTGGCTTCAGCCTTCCCTCGCTGTGGGACTTCTTCAAGCCTTGGTTCCCTCACACGTGAAACGGAACTGTAATATAGTATCCAACTTATAACAGTGCAAGCATTACATGAGATCATACGGGGCTGGCAGGTGGCATGGTGGTTAAGGTGCTGGACTCCCACATGGCTGACCATGGTTCTAGTCCTGAGCCTGGTAGCTTACTTTCTCTCTCTTTCCCCCTCTCCCCCTCTCTGGTCAAATTAAAATAAATAAAGGGGCCGGCAGATGGTGTGGTGGTTAAGGTGCTGGACTCCCACATGGCTGACTATGGTTCAAGTCCCGGACCTGGCAGCTTGCTGTCTCACTTTCCTTCTCTCATTCTCTCTGGTCAAACTTTAAAAAAAAAAAAGATGAATAAAATAAATAAATAAAGTGAAATAAAATAATTATTTAAAAAATAGATGCGATGATACTAGCAGTAAGACGGAGCCTTTGTCTATGCTCACGACGCTAGACACCATTCCAAGCCGTTGGCGTATGCTGGGTCTCCAGCTCACAAGACCCTTTTGGGTGGGTGTTATAGGTCTCCTGTTTCACAGATGAACACACAGAGACCCCGAGTACGCACTCCATAAATCATCATTATTATGGTGAATCCTTCAGGAACCCACGAGGCCTCTTTCCGGGTCACCACTGCTCACCTGACTGCAGACGAGCGCGTCGCGGTAACCGCCGAAAAGTAAGGCCTGGGCTTTGAGGAAGAGACGGGACACCCCTTCTCCGGGGACCAGCGCGGCCTTCCTGAGCCGCAGCTTCAGTAGGGAGGCCTGCGGGACAAGGGGTGGCACTGAGCGGGCAGGGGTGTAGGTCCTGCGTCTCCATGAGCAGGGGGTGCAGGGTGACACCGACCACGTCTGGGGGCAGCGCCTGCACGTCGTCGAAGGGCGTCTCCAAGGTGTTGGAGTCTATGTTCAACACCACGACGTCCTCCAGGGCTTTGTCGCGCACTGTCTGCGGAGGAGGGAGGGACTGCGGCTCAGAGACCCAGGTCCCTTGGCGGGGAAGCGTGTCTGGGGGTGTAGAGGGAGGGAGCTCACCTCAGCGAGACTGGCGTGCACTCCAATGAGGTAGGGCATGGGCGCGCTGCAGACCGAGAGGACCCGGGTCATGCGGGCGCCGCTCCCAGGCCCCAGGTTTGTCCCAGCTCCTGCCCCTCCCCGGGCCCCTCCTTACCAGCAGTAGTCAAGCAGGTGCGGGGGCAGCGTGGGGATCAGCACGTGCTCCCAGCGCATGGGGTACAGAAGGGCGCAGGACGCGTGGACGCATGATGTCAGCTGGGGACCGATAGGGGGTCGTGGAGTCAAGGCCTAGACTCCTAACTCTGCGAGGGTGGCTCTCCCCGTTCCATTTCCCACGCGCCCAGTCTCCTGTCCCCACCCGTTACTGGGTAACCAGCGGAAACTTAGACCAAGAAGTCGACTAATTTCCTAGTCCTCGAGGGGACGAAGCTAATAGGCCGGGGATCCCTCCGGGATCCCTCCGGGTAGCAAAGACTCAGCCTCTACTCACTCCACCCCAAAGAGGCGGAGCCACTATCCACTCCGCTCTGGTCCCGCCACTCATCTTTCAGGACCACACTCTAAAGAGGCGGAGCCAGGACGCACCCACTCGCCACGCCCTGAGGGTGGAGCCAGATTTCGGTCACGCCCACTGCCTCAGGGGGCGGGGCTAGGATGTAGCTCTTCCTCCGGGGCGGAGCGAGGCCTTTAATTGCCCGCAGTGAGTGGAGCCTGCACGCAGCGCTCCCAAAGAGGAGGAGCTACGGCACTCTGAGCCCCGCCACACAGGGGTGGAGCCAGGACTTTGTAGGGTGGGGTTAGAACAAGGATCAGGCCCCCGTGGTCCCGCCCCAGGGGCGGAGCTAAGTTCTGGCCCCGCCCCTTCTAAGCGGGCCCCGCCTCACGGTGCTGAGCTTGCTGGAGATCAGCAGGACTCTTCGCTCCGCCAGGAGCGCGGCGAACAGCCCCACGATATTCTCGTCGGTCACCGCCACCACCAGCTCCGTGAGGTTCCTCTGGGGAACAGAGATGCGCGCTGGGTGCGGACGGACTCCAGGATCTGGAATCGCCCCTGGATTTCGGGACCTGTTGTGCCCCCAAGTCCCATCCCAGGTCCCTACTCACGTTCTCAGGGATGGATGGCAGGCAGCCGGAGTCGGGGGCGACGAAACAGGAAAGCTAGTGGGAGGCATTGGCCGGGGATCCATCAGTCAGGAGGCTGGCTCACGTGGGTGCCCAACCTTCCAGGGTCCCTGAACCCAGCTCGCTCACCGGCCTGCTGTTCCCTGGGGCAGGAGGCCGGATCCCGTGCACGGTGGAAATCGTCACTCCGCTGCCCTGGGAGAGAGTGACAGCTGTGTGGTCTCAGGGCTGGGCGCAGCCTCCCCGCCCACCTAAGGCTCCACGCCCAGGGGTTGGAGTCTGCTCACCAGCTCCAGCCCCACGGAGGCCTGGGGCCCGGGTAGTGGCTGCTGCAGCAGATTTTTGAGAAGTTCCTCCGCTTCTGAGACCTGGGTGGGGTGGGGGTGTCTGAGCCAGAAGGTGCGTGGGTGATTCTAAGGGCCAAGGCCCAGGCTGGGTTGTCTGGGAGGAGCCAAGGGGCTGGATCAGGCCTGGCTGTTCTGGGAGGGGCTGGGGCTCTGCAGGAGTGAGAGGGAAGCAGGCCTCACTTGGTCCTGGGCTAGGAGGTCTCCCACTGTGTTCAAGAGCTTGTAGAACACCTCAAACCAAGGTAAGTGGCTGTGGAGAGAGGACACAGGCTCTGTGAAACCACCCTGGGCCTAGGCCCTCCCTGCCCGCCCGCCCCGCCCTAGCTCCCAGCCCCCACACCTGAGGATGCAGAGGCAGCGCTGGGCACCGGCTCTCAGGCGACAGAAACCAAATCTACGTTTGCCCTCCAGGTCCGTGAGGGTGAAGGTGAAATGCTGGACTGCAGAGCTGGGGGGCTCCCTGGAAGTGGAGGAAAGGTTCTCAGAGACACCCGGTTGTCCCAGCTCCCTGCCACCCCTGGCTTCCCAGTGGTGCTGCTTGTCCCGTGTCAGACACTGGCTGCTCCGGTCCCTGAACGGCCGAGTCCCTGGCTGCATAGGTCTCCAGCATTTTGGGTCCCTTGGTATCTCAGTTCCTGTGTGCCTAGGTTCCTGGATGTATGGGTTCCTAACAGTTAGCGTCTCTGGGCTCCTGGGTCTTCGCATCCCTGGGGCCCCATGCATAGAGGCCCCTAGTTTTCAGGGTGTCTGTCTGGGTCTGTGGGGCCCCACACATAGAAGTTCCTAGTTTTCCAGGTGTCTGGGTCTGTGGGGCCCCATGCATAGAAGTCCCTAGTTTTCCGGGTGTCTGTCTGGGTCTGTGGGGCCCCATGCATAGAGGTCCCTAGTTTTCCGGGTGTCTGGGTCTGTGGGGCCCCATGCATACAGGTCCCTAGTTTTCCGGGTGTCTGGGTCTGTGGGGCCCCACGCATAGAGGTCCCTAGTTTTCCGGGTGTCTGTCTGGGTCTGTGGGGCCCCATGCATAGAAGTCCCTAGTTTTCCAGGTGTCTGTCTGGGTCTGTGGGGCCCCACGCATAGAGGTCCCTAGTTTTCAGGGTGTCTGTCTGGGTCCTTGGGTCATATGGATAGAGGTTCCTCATTTTCAGGGTCTCAAGTGTCCGAGTCCCTGGGCAGTGACTCCTTGGGGTTCCTGAGGGTCCGTGTCCGCTCGGTGCATACCTTTCCACATCGAAGGGGAAGCAGAACGTGGGCACCATCTGCACGGTTTCCTGCGGGTGGACAGACACACAGACACCTGCCCGTGGGTTCTGGGTTGGAGACAGAGTTCCCCTCCCCAGGGACTGGGCCTGGCCCTGTGGAAACAAGAACCCCGCCTGCATACCTGGTCCCTGAAGTCTGGGGGGAACTGCCACAGGATGGGGGGATCTGCAGGGGAGAGCAGGCCTCTGAGTCCAGGGCCCCAGGTCCCTCCCTGCCTCCCGCCAGCCCCCCATGCTCCCCACTCACCCTCCTGCAGGGAGGCAGGGCAGGCCGCTTCGAAGAACCAGTCGAACATGGCAGGAGGACCCCCTCTGTGGAGCAGGAAAGCGTTGGTGGGTGGTCCAGGGACTTGGTGCTGTGCGTGTACGGTCGTGCCTACTATCTGCACATGTGTGTGATTGCGTGTGCATGTGCAACCAGGCGTGCTGGTGGGGGCTTGTGATCCCAAGGGCTTGGGGGAGGGTGTGGTTGTGTGAGGCTGTGTGTGCAACTGTGTTGATTCCGTGTGCCCAGGTTAGAGCGTGACTGTGTGTGTGTGTGCGCGTGCGTGTGTGCGATTCCACCTGGCGTCAGGAAGGCCGAAGTCCGAAGGTGAGCAATGTCTGTCTTCTCTTGTACGGCTGTGAGTGTCGCGGGGTACATGGGTGAGCATCCGTGTGGCCTGTCCGTGTGCCCTCGTGCGTGAGACTTCAGGGGTTCTGGTGGCTGACCCCACCTTTCCCGTCAGAGACAGGCGGGTGGGGTGCCCCCATCCTTCCTCGGAGCCCTCCAATCTCTGTCTTCCTCCCCTGCTCCCTACCTCGCGAACAGGATGTTGGGAGAGACACAGACGGAGACCCACAGCAGACACTGTCCTGTCCCCTGGAACACCCAGCCTTGACAAGGGTCCCCAGCGTTTTACCCTCATGCTTGCGGAGGTCGCACACGCTCACCCCTCGCAGGTTACAGCACCCCTCCCCTGCAGCCCACCTGCTGAGCCCCGGAAGCCATTATTCACAGTCACCCAGAGACACAGCTCAGAGGGCTGTCCCCACTCACAGTCTTACAGACACAGAACCACCGAGCAGGACAGACAGGGCGAGGAGAGGCTGCCGGGCCCACGCAACCTCCAGGGCAGTGTCCTCGGCTGAGGTCAGCGAAGGGTCCTGCCTGACGGTCACCTGCCCCTGCGGGTGTGTACCTCCGAGGCCTGCCCCCGGCCCAGCTCCCCTCTGCTCCAGCCCAGGCCTGCCCTGGGAATCTCAGTCCAGAGGATGAGGGAGGGGTCAGCTCTTACTGGGCTCTGGATCCCATGGTCCCTGCAGGGCCGGCCCGGCCGGGGCCTCTCCCCAGGGGTCCCGGGGGCCTGTGCTTGCTTGGAGCTGGGCCCCGAGCCGGCTCAGCTTCCTGTGTGGCTAAGAGAGGAAGTTTGACAGGGTGACGTCCCCGGACGGAGGCCCCTGCCCCCACCCGCTGTGAGAAACCCAGGCATCCTTCTTCCTAGCCTTCTGTGGGGTGGGTGGGCAATGATGGTGCGGCCCCAGGGGCCAGACCCCCTCCCCACGCACAGTTCTGTCCTGCCTGGCCGGGCCGTGTCTGGTCTGTGCATCACACCCAGGCTGTCTCCTCTCCTCCACTCTGCAGCTGCCGGGGACTCAGTCTGCCTCATAAAAAGTGCCACCTCCCTCCTCTCTTTCCCGCTGGTCAATTGGTGCTGGCCGTTCACCGTAGGACCACCAGAGGGAGCTGGCCCAGAGAGTGGCCATGCAGGAGCCAGGGAGGGCTCCCCCGGAGAGCATGGGGACACAGGCACAGAGACACCACACGCAGCCCAGAGGTGGCCTGCACAGACAGAACCCACACACAGACGCCGAGGGACCAGATGCACGCAGGAGGAATGAAGTCAGACCCACACCCACAAGCACAGAGCGCAGGAGAGGGCTGTGGGGCAGGGACTGGCTTCTGTGTGCGTGCGGTTATACCTACCCCCCTGCACATGCGTGTGATTGCATGTGCGTGTGCAGTCAGCTGTGCTGGTGTGTGTGTGGCCCTGGGGGTTGTGGGAGTGTGTGTGTGGTTGTGTGAGGCTGTGCGTGCAACTCTCAGGTGTGCATAACCTCTGCCTCCCGATGACATGATTCGGGGCCGACAACACACGACTGTCAGGAACAGACCCAGACATGGAGCCCCAGTTCTGACAGCCCCAGTTCTGGACAGACTGGAAAACAAGGAACACAGATGTAGAAAGGGCAGTGACATGGACCAGCAGGTGGTGTGGTGGTTAAGGCAGCTGGAACCCACATGACCAAATGTGAGGTTCAAGTCCCAGTACAGGCAGATTGAAAACACACCAGATGTGGGACCAGCAGTTGGCATAATGACTATCTCCCGTGTGGTCGACCACGGTTCAAGTCCTGGACCTGGTGGCTTGACATTCACACCGGGTGCATGTGCGTGCGTGCCTAAGATCCCGGGAGAAGAATGAAGAAGGGACTGTGGCATGGCCATCCTCCTAGGGGGTGATTTCTCTCTTTCTGTCTCTCTGTCTCTCTCTGTCTTTCTGGCTGGCGCATGCACCCTATAGCAAAAACCTCTCTCTTAAAAAAAAAGAGATAGAAGAAAGAAGAAAGAAAGAAAGAAAGAAAGAAAGGAAGGAAGAAAGAAAGAAAAACACACCAGGTGTGTGTACGTAATGTGCCCCAAACCCTGGAAGGATGTGACCATCCCTCTTGGGAGGTGCTTTCTCACACTCTCTCTCTCTTTGTCTCTCCCCTCTCTCTTTTTAAAAAATTTATTTATTGACATTATTACTGTTATTTTTTCAATTAACCAACGAAACAGAAACAGAGAGAGGGAAAGTGAGAAATCACCCCTCAGAGACTAGCCATATCACAATCCCATCTACTCTTTTCTCCCCTAAAGATTTTGAGCACGCGTGCACACATACACACACACACACACACACATGCTCTTTCTTTCTCCCTCACAAACACGCATACATGTGCTCAGTGTGATTTATAAGCTGCCACGTTGAAACCTCAAACCATAATGGGTCATGTTGAACCATCACAGCACCTGCTTGCCATATGGAAACATTTTTTTGGGAAAGAGAAAAAGAAAGCCACTAGATCTGGGACTTGAACCGTGTCAGGCATGTGGGAGTCCAGCGCTTAACCATCACAGCCCTTGTTCACCCATCTCCCTCTCTTTGTCTCTCTCTCTGGTGAGCACACGTGCCTTATAGAAAAAAAATTTAAAAAAAAAGTACAGTGACAAAGGGACAGATACAGTCAGGGCCAGTCACAATCAGACAACTAGACACAGAGGACAGCCAGGCACACTCGAGCAGAGTGGCAGACTCAGGAGGACACAGGCACACAGGCTTCTGCCACCAGATACGTGTGCTCTCCACAGAGGAGAGGGACGGAGACAGGGAAAGTGAGAAATCCCCCCGGGGGTGTGGCCACGCCGCAATCCCTTCTCCTCCGTTCTCCTCTCGGGATCTTGGGCACGCACGCACGTGCACCCGGCGTGAGTTTAAAGTCTAGGATTTGAACCATGGACGACCATGTGGGAATCCAGCCGTCTTAACCCCCTCGCTTCCACCTCCAGGTGCCCTTTTCTACTGCAGAAGCTACAGAACAGAACAAACCCCAAACTACATTTCCCAGAAGCCTTTGCAGCTCTTGACTGGATGTGGAGCTGCTTTTACCAACTACAGATGCTCACAGGAGGTGTGAAAGGTGGAAAGTGCGGCCGTGTGTGTGTGTGTGTGTGTGTGTGTGTGTGTGTGTGCACGCCCATGTGTGCTAAGAAGCAAAGCTGTGGAGGCATAGAATTCATTTTCGTACATTTTCGTTCTCCAGCGAGCCTATTTCCAGGTCTGTGGGTGTTGAGAGACGTTTTTGAATTGGGTGGTTCTGATGGAGCCACTTTTTTCTCCTCCTTTCTTCCTTCCTTCTTCTCTCCCTCCCTCCCTCCTTTTCTTCTTTCCTTCCTTCTTTGCATTTTCTCAAGGTCTAGCTGTCCTCCTGCCTCAGGCTCCTGGGTTGCTGGGATTACAGGCCCAGGCCACTGACTCGCTCAGACAGGGTCTTGCTCTGTGGCCCAGATTAGCCCGTGGCTCTCCGCCTCCCTGCCTCAGCCTCCCTCAGGCACCCGCTGCTGCTCCCAGCCTTAGGTTGGACCAAGAACCAAAGAGGAGTCCTCCGTCGGTCCCAGCTGCCGAGTGCGTCTCAGTAGCCTGTGCTCCCCTGGCTGGGCTGCGGTCTCCACTTTGCTCACCGTCCACGGGAAGCAGCTCCCTGGTGGTTCAGCTGGGTGGTGTTTGAACTCCTTACTGGAAGCCCCGTGCTGCTCAAAGCGTGATCTCATTCACACACCGCTGGCATCGCTGGGGCCTCGTGACAAGTGCCGTGCCTTGGGCCCCAGACCTCCTTACTGATTCAGAAACTCGAGGCTGGGCCCCACGAAGCAGTGTTTAGCTTTTTTTTCCTTTGGAGAAGTTTTAGCTATAGGGCACGTGCGCTCACCAGAAAGACAGAGAGAGAGACAGAGAGACAGAAAGCGAGAACTCACCTCCCAGGGGGGACGGCCACACCGCAATCCCTTCTCCTCCATTCTCCTCTCAGGATCCTGGGCACGCATGCCCACGCACCCGGCATGAGTTTAAGGCACCGGGTCCGGGCCTTGAACCATGTCCACTACATGGGAGTCCAGCGACATAGCCATTACACCATCTGCTGGTCCCTTAGCATGTTTTTTCTCTGTTTCAAACATTGGAGATTGAAACATATTGGCCCAGAGCCCCTCCAGTGATGCGGTGTGCCCCTAAGTCCTTGCACTAAATCGCTTTCTGTTTAGCACACCTAGAGTGGCCTTTCGCACTGACAACTGGTCACATCCAATGAGCTTTGAGGGTTGACGGAGTCCAGTTGGCAGGTTTTCAATCCCAGTTTACTGCTTCTTTCTTTTTTTCTTGTTTTATTTTCAAGTTTATTTCTAACATCACACACACACACACACACACACTCACCTCTAACAGGATGTTTTAAAAAGGTTTATCACCATATGGTGCATGTGCTCACTGGAGAGACAGAGAGGGAGAGTGAGAAATCACTCCCTGGGGGATGGGCATGCTGCACCCCCTTCTCCTCCACACTCCTCTTGGAATTGGGGGCACGGACACAGGCTGGATGTGATTTTCAAACCACTGGATCTAGGACTTGAACTGCGGTTGGCCATGCAGAAGTCCAGCACCTTAACCACCATGCCACCTGCTGGTCCCTCCAACAGGATCTTTTTTTTCCCTTTTTTTCTTTTGTAAGGATTATCTGTACAACTTTATTATTATTATTATTTAAAAAAATTTGACCAAAGAGAGGGGCCAACAGGTGGCATGGTGGTTAATGGCGCTGGACTCCCACATGACTGACTGTGGTTCAAGTTCCAGACCCGGGGGCTTGCTTTCTTGCTTTCTCTCTCTCTCTCTCTCTCACTCTGTCCTTCTCTGGTCAAATTAAAAGAAAGAAAGAAAGAAAGAAAGAAAGAAAGAAAGAAAGAAAGAAAGAAAGAA